ATAAAAAAGATTTCCTCCCATCAAATTCCCTTCCTCAGTCAGGGGAAGTATATATAATACAAATATAATACCTAGTCTTCATTTAGTACTTCCCACCAGAAGAACTGAAAATAATTTACCATGCAAATCATTATCCCCATTTTACAGATGGGCTATAGGGAGAGAAGTCATGCAGCAAGATCACTGAAAGAACCAGGAATAGAACCCAGTTCTTCCATAATCCCACTTGGTTCTCTGTCCATTTGGCAATGCTGCCCCTTCTACAATACATCAAACAGTGATGCAAGCAGGTGTTAGACAGCCATATTAATTGAATGCTGTGGTACCCTGGACTGCCCAGTATCTGAATACAATTAGAGATTATCTCTTTGTCTTTGTGTACCTTTCACAATAAATTATACCTAAGTAGGTTGTGTATTCCCTTACCATAGAGGTAATATTGTCTCTGTATGTAGGGTAAAACCGACATATTAAAAATATGGTACCATTTTTGTTTAGAAATTAGAGCTAGTTCAATAAGTGGCAAATTACCATTTGATTAATCACAACTTACAACTGGTCATCACCATATTTACTCAAATACCATGCACATTTTTTTCCTAAAACTTTTTTCCTCTTTCCCTAACATTTTCCCCAAATTAGGGTGTGTTCTTAAGGGTAGATACTGATTTCTGGTGCCAATTTGGCAGTGGCTGTGAGAGGTTTAAAACTGCAGCTTTAGTAATGATCAGGATCCATTCATGTGGTCAGGATTCCCTATGGTCACAGAACAGTCTTTCAGGGCCCTGGCAGGGGGCTGGGGTAGTGTGGGAAATAAGGCACATGGTTGACTGCCCAGAGGTCTCAAGTTAAAGGCCATAGGAGAAGTGCTCACACTGCAGCCTGTTGGATTCCCATGAATCTACAAATTCTGCTAAATATCTTGTCACCAGAACTTAAAAAAGGAAGGAAGACCCCTGGACAGATCTTAACGCAGGTGCTAAAAATCAGTCATCCTGCCATGCTAGACATGTGTGGCATAACATTTGTCTGATCCCAGTTGTGTCACTGCGGGTGCATGGAGAGCTGGGCATTGGGAACTAGTCCCTGGTGCCTCCCTTTCTTTGGTTCTCTTTTGACTTTACAGTGCAGAGCAAGTTGAAAACTACATTGTGCAGCCCTCCATCAAGCTGTACCATGGTGCCTTAGGTGCCAGAATGTGGAAAGCTCATTAGCCCTGTAGGGCTGCCCTGCGTGGCTTTCGTCTTTCTGGTGCAGGGAGTGTAGGTGCAGCCTGATGCATGGCTGCACTGTGTGGGAAGCCCATCAACATCTAAAGCGGCTATGCAACCCATTGCCAAATGTGCCAAATGTTCAATTAAACCATGATGCAAACCAATCACAAAGATGTTCCACATTTAATTTGGGTGAGCTTTGTGTCTGGTTTACCATTTTATTGCACCATAAATTGACAGTATGTGTGGCATGTTACAATTTATTGTACAATTAACATGCTAATTGTACACTAAATAGAACATCTGCCAGGCCCTCAGAGTAATTAAAATAAATTCTTATTTATGGAACCATAAAACAACACGGTCTGGTTCTAGTGTCTAAGCTATATTCTGAGTTTGCTTAATATATTGTGTATTCCTAAATTAACTGTACATTATCTATTACATCTGGAATATATTTTCAGTTCCTCTGCCAGTCTGCTCTGGAATGTCGACATATACTATTAACTGATTGTTGAGTTAAGCATTTCAGTGGTGGATGAAGTTATTCCCACAGTCTGTGTAAACCATGATGGGATTTTTTTGATGGGAAAAGCATGAGTTACTTTTACTGAAAGCTTATGTTCTGTTTTCTATGGACACAGAATGGACTCTCTCCACTTCACATGGCTGCCCAGGGTGATCACGTGGAATGTGTCAAACACCTACTGCAGCACAAAGCTCCTGTTGATGATGTTACACTTGATTATCTTACTGCTCTACATGTTGCTGCACACTGTGGCCATTACCGTGTCACCAAACTACTCCTGGACAAGAGAGCAAATCCCAATGCTCGTGCTCTGGTAAACCCATCCCTTACATCTAATGCAATATGCCTGCAAATGGGAGATCTGCCTCAAAAAGGCCAACTGAAGGCCCCATCCAGCAGATTCTATTGAACCATATTGAGTGTAGTGCTTACTGCTCTGAGCAGTCCTATTTAAATGGACTGTAAGGGCCAATGCTTTAAGTCCTGGTTAAAACTTAATGTAGGGCTTTTTCTTCAGTGGGACTACTCCAAGGTAGCAAGCATGGTGTTCAGTAAGAATTGTCTGCACGATTAGGTCTGGAAACTGCACAGTTCTCAGAATCACAGTATCAGTGATTCCATGTATTTGATAATATGGCCTTTTGTTCTATGCCATATAGTTGTGCAGTTCACATTTTTAATCATTTTAACTGAATGAAAGTGCTAGTTAGCAGGAAGATAATTGTTCTGCACATGGTAGGACTTTTTAATAAAATTAATTAGCAAATATTTTTGATAAAGGGCAGAATATTAGGGGGGTTACATTTAACACATGTATTTTTTAGCAAATATTGCTATTTAAAATGTCCATTGTTTTGGCTTTTTATTTTACTGGTGTGAAAATGAAAATATCATATATATAATTTCATTTGCTCAATGACTTGCCCATTATGTCCTAAACTGCCATTAAAATGTCCCATTTGGCTTTATAAATGTGTAAAGGCTTCAAAAGTTGTTAATCCTGTACTCGTACCATACACAAAACTCCCATTGACTCCAGTAAGTGTTTTGCTGTTGTACTGCTGATTATGTATAGGATGGAATTTTAAATAATGAACAAATTACGCTTGATTCAGTTATTGGAGAGTGGCAAGCACTGCAGAGTTTGAGCACCTAGGAATTACAAAGTAATTAAAGTGCTCAGCGTGGACTCTACCTTTGCCTGTTGCACTCGGTGCCTTGCATGTATTGTATGTCTCCTCCCCCCAGCCTTTTGCACCCTGTGTTTTAGCCTGGAGTCCCCTTCCTTTCCTTTCCCTGCCCATCCCGAGTCCCATGTATGCCCACTTCACTGTTCCTGCCCTAATCTCCATGTGCCTTCTTGCATTTCATACCCTTTCTGTACCCCAAATCTCCTGTTCTTTGCCACAGCTCCTCTTCTAGGTCTTCCTACCCTACAACTTCCTCTGATGCCTTATCTGTCTTCTTCAATGCTCATTTCCTTCTCAGCTGCACATTTTTGTTACCAGTCTTTAGTACATTTTTCCTAAGGCTCTGCACATATCCTCTATATACTTGCTTCAGTCTCCCATCTTTCTTTTAGGCCTACCTGGGCATTCCTGGTTTTTCATGCCTTTTCTTTATTCCTTTTTGACTCAGATTCTGCTCACACTCCAGGCTCCATCAGCTAACTTTCCTCCTTCAGATGCATCTTCTCGTTCCTCCTCAATTCGGTTTCATCCATTCATTTCTTGTCCCCAGATCTATGGTTCCTAGTTCTCTTACCATCTCTACTTCCTGTCCAGCTGTTTCCCATCTGTGCCATTCATCTCTGCTTTATTTATAGTTAAAATGATGTTCTCTACACACTAAAAAAGGTCATTTGTATATACCACCTGTATGTTGAGCCCAGAAATACTTCTGCAAAGTATGCCCCATGTATTTGTTCCCCCTCTGCATGCACTAAATCCTCGAAATGAAGCAATGTAGGTACCTTAAAGTGGCATGCTAATAAGTCTGTCCAAGACAGAGCGTCTAAGAGTGGGTCTGGGCACAAACTCAAGGCCAGTCCAAAGTAGCAGAATTGTCTCATTTATAGGATTTGGCATGCATATGATAGAAGTGAGTAAGGGTACTCTTGGGTTCAGCAGAAAAGTTTGAGCACCTCACCTCCAGAGGGCCAACAAAAGAAACAAAATAAAATGAACTGGGAAGGTCTGACATTTCTGAAACACTGCAGCTTTCTATAAAATGGACCCAAGGATGTGACACAGTGGGTGAAATTTCCACAGGCACTGGTTTCTTTTTGGAGAAGTAGAAGAGTAACAATAAGGGTTCTAATGTGTAAATTAGCTTCAGTCTTAGCAATGGAGTGACTACCCTTGCTCCATAGCATTCAGCATGATAAACGTTATAATTCATTAGAAATAGTTCATTAGAAAGCTTCTCTATCCTTCTTCAAAGAGAAGAGAACAGAATCAAATGACCAGAGAGCAATAAGCAAGTGAGTCAGGGGTTTTTAGCATATGGAGTTGCTTGTTTATAAGGACAATGTTAAGGAAAGCAGATATAACCATAGGGATGCTGGAGGCAAGACATCTCTGTACATTTGACTTTGGGAGCATCTGAAATGTTATCTAATAGTTCAAAGTTTGCAGATAAGCAAAGAGGAAAACTCCAGGACAGCAGATAAATCCCTGCTAGAAGTATTGACAAACTTTTGATGAGATGAATCTACAATTTGCTCTTTAAGGCTAAAACATGAAACTATCTGGATTAGTTAGTTAATGATTATTATTTTTAAAATATTTTCATAAAGGGAAAATCATGACATTCATTTTCAGACAGATGTTCTTGAAGCAATTAGTTAATGTTTGTTAAATTCTCTGAGGATATAAACATATGTTCCTAGGTTTTGTGATGATTATGCATTTAAAGCATGTTAATGTCAACCTATAGGTAACGTTTGTGTTAATAGATGCTAATGGAGTATAACAGCTGCTCTCTCTTTTTCTTTATGAGCTAAGATTTCACTGGCATTAACTAGCTTTACTTCTTGTTCAGTGTCAGCAATTCTTATCTCTATCACTAAAAACAATTGTGACAGTCTAACATTGTCTTAAAAAT